AAAGCAATTTACTAATATCTTTTTTTCATCACAATCAGACTCGTCAGCCATTATTCCAAATATAAAATAAGTTGATTGATTGGCTTGCTGGAATATATTTCTCACATGTAACTCAGATACCTCGTGATGCCAACAGCTAATAGTCGCTGCAGAAATCCAGAATTGTGAATTATCTCCTGTTAAAAAATTAAAAATGGTATTTATACTAGCCGCCATGGTATTAAAAGATATTTGGCTGATCTGGAAAACTTGTAGGGTAAGTCCAATGAAGTCCGCGTTATACTCTTTTTTATTTTTTTTTATCAAATTTCTAATTGTGACTTTTATATCATTGCCTTTTAATTCTAATGGGTGTCGGGTTACTGCATGAATTTGAAATACATGTTGATGACATTTGTGCTTAAATTGCACTATAGATCCGTTAAGCTTTCTAACTTTATATTGTGATTTTTGAATCTTATTTTTGAGCTGTTTGTTATTGTGGCTTAATTTTTGTACCGATTCTCCAGGTTTATAAAGAGAATCAGATATATATTAAGAAGCCTTTTTTTGAATATATGAAGACATAATTCGATCTTGATTTTTTCCATGCGAGTATCTCATATTTTGCAAAAGATGAGACGTTGACTTAAGATCCGTTTCGAGCATAACATTAAGAGTATGAATTATTGTATTATATGTGGAGGTATTAATATTCGAGTTATTAAAGATTTTATCATGTATAATTTAAAGTTCTTTAATAGAAATTGTTTTTAAATGCTTGGTTATTTCATCAATAAATTTTGTACGCAAATTTGCCTCACGCTTTTCGGCTATTGATTTAAGTGCATTTTTTAATTGCGCTTTACACTTCAACACAGTCATTTTGACAAAAAGTTAGATTTAAAACACGATGTTTGGAAAATTATAATATGTGAAAACTGTTTCGAGGTACTCTCGATACATTTTTAAATCTTTATTAACAAAAGCCAACTCGAAACAAATGTGCATATTTTTTTAGTTAGAATTTTTAACGATCACAAAAGTTAGATTTTAAAACGGTCCTGCATTAAAACTAACATAATAATTTTTAATAAAATTTTACACATATATATTTATTAAAATATATTTTTCTTGAACCTTTTACTAAGTGAAAAATTGGGTTAAAATTAAAAAAAAAATTAATTTTTGCTTATAAGCACCTTGCCTTTTATGTGACTTTTTCGGTAGCTATCAAATTATGTATATTCGGGCCAAAGTTTGTAATTGTATTTTTCTCTAAACGTTTTGATGGATTAAAATTTCATTGTAACTTAACACTAAGTATTTAGAATATTTATACTTAAATAAATTATAGATTTAATGCACAGCAATACTATATACACTATATATATAAAATATATATTACGTATACTTTTTTTCATTATTATAGAATACAATTAGAATGTTAAATATATACATATATGTGATTTTAATCAAATTTCTACGTATGACATGGACGTAATTATGTGAAATTTCTAACATAATTTCATTTTTTTAAGAAAAAATTAATAATAATTATTATTACAGGTGATTATGCAATCTTTTTTTTTTATATAAGTTTGAGTGTAGTTTTGTCTTGACTAATTTTCAAGGAGGGATACAATACGCACAAATTGAAGAATTAAACTAGTAGTATCTAATTTGGTTGCCTTGGATTTATTATGTACTGGAGGTTTTATTCTTCTGCTTTTTATTAGATTGTCCTTGATTTTGCTGCATATTTTTACGTTTAATCGATTTTATACTCCATGTTTTGCTTATAGGTGGGTTATCTTCTTCTAAAAGCTCAAGTTTTTTACGAAATTTCTGTAGACGTTTTTTCTTTGAATATTTTTTTATATCCTTTTCTACCAAATTTTCAGGACGGTACCTATTGAAAAATATCGATAGCAGATAAATATTATTGCCATTATCATTAATGATATATTAAATACTCACGGAGCAATTTTCTTTAAAGATACGTATTCATTCAAATCTTTGTCATCAGCTAATAAGAATTCGACAGAAGTCAATCCAAATGAAGTTGGCTTAACTTGTTTATACTTGAACCTTGTAGGAGTATCACCGATCTGTAATATATATAATTAGGATTTAAATTAGGCATAATACGATGGAGACTGGTTATTTTAATTTATTTACAATGTCTTCGTAATCCAGTTGATAATATTCATCCAAGTATTTGTCAAAGTTTTGTTTGGCCTTTTTCTTCTGTTCATTTTTCTCCTTTTTTC